GGATTAAGAAAATGTGGTACATATACACCATGGAATACTATGCAGTCATATAAAGGAATGAGATCATGTCCTTTGCAGGGACATGAATGGAGCTGGAAGTCATTATCCTCAGCAAACTAACCCAGGAACAGAAAACCAAATGCCTCACGTTCTCACTTACACATCAGAGCTGAATGATGAGAACACATGGACACAGTGGGGAGGGAACAACACACACTGTTGGACAGTGCGGGGGTGAGAGGAGGAAGAAGATCGGGGAGAATAGCTACTGCATGCTGGGCTTAATACCCAGGTGATGGGCTGATAGGTGCAGCAAATCACTGTGGCACACATTTACCTATGTAACAAACCTGCACATCCTGCACATGTACCCCAGAGCTTAAAATAAAAGTTGGAAATCAAAATAAAGTACCATTTAAAAATAAAGATGAAAATAGATAAATGTGTCAGAATAATTGTATCAATTGTTTAATTATAAGTGGCATATAACCAAGCATTAGTAGAATTGGTTTTGTTGATTAGATCTCCTTTGAGTAAAATGATTAAAAACAACATTTTTTTAAACCTGAAAATCTGAGGATAGATTTTGGGCTGTGATAACACCCCAATTCATTGCCCCACAATGACCTTCTAGAACTTTTCATCTGGCCCCTTTGGCGTCTAATTGTAAATTCCCAACCTGAGATGAGGTTGAAATTAAAGCACCCATATCAGTCATATATGTGTAATATGTATATTATATATACATATGTGGATACATTGTACATACAGTATATTACATATGTACTATATATAATACATGTATATTATATGTGTTATATATATACATAAAATACAAATTTTGTGAAGAATACTTGGTGTAATCATGTTATCTAGTTGTTCACTACACTATTGGAGGACTGTCCTTGGGTACTGTGGTGGATGTTATTTACTTAGAAATAAAGAATTCTATAGTCATATTTGGAGGGGTTATTCATCAGGGTTCTTTGGTTTACAAATGGCTGAATCCAGCTCAAAATGCCTTAAGCTTAAAGGTTTATGTAACTACAAGACCCAGGGGTCCCTCTGGAGCAGCCCGATTCAGAGGCACAAACCAGGTCATCCAAACTTAGCCCTAGTCATTTTTGTGGTTCTGTTTCCTTTATTACTTTCTTCAAATACTGTGTTCTTTCATGCCCCTCTACCCTCTGTCTAGATTCACCTTCCCTTCCTGCCTGGCAAATTCCTATTTACCCTTAAAAGCCCAGGTCAAATACTACCACTGCTTCATAGATTTTGCTGACTAACTGTCAGCCCTGTCTTCGTCTGTTTTTGCTGCTATAACAAAATGCTTAGAACTGGGCAATTAATATACAATGGAAATTGATTTCTCACACTTCTGGAGGCTGGGGAGTCCAAGATAAGGTGCCTGCAGATTTGGTGTCTGGTGAGGTGTCGCTCCTTTTAAAATCGTGCTTTGCATACCTGTAGTCCCGGCTACTCTGGAGGCTGAGGCAAGAGAATCACTTGAACCCGGGAGGCGGAGGTCACAGTGAGCCGAGATCACACCACTGCACTCCAGCCTGGGCAACAGAATGAGACTCTGTCTCAAAAACAAACAAACAAACAAACAAACAATCCACAATGGTGCCTTGTTGTTCCATCCTCTGGAGGGGACAAAGGCTGTGTCTCATGTGGTGGGGAGGTAGAAGCGGGAGGCAGTACTCTGAAGCCTCTGTATAAGAAGGTGAATCCCATTCATGAGGGCAGAGTCCTCATGGCCTAATCACCTTGCCCTACCTCTTAATACCATCACCTGGAAAATTAAGTTCTGACATGTAAATTTTGGAGGGACATCTACATTCAAACCATATCAGGCTCCATGCAAAAATAATTGCTCTCTTGAGGGCATCCCTAAAGCCAATTGTTCATACTCTAGTACAACACTAATTGAGTTATATTTGAGGCTTCCATTTGTTTATTTTGTCTTCTAATCACATGTGTAGAGAGATGGAGGGCTCCCCAAATCTGTGCTTCTCCTCTTTATTCTGGCCACATTTGTGTCAATTACATTTCCCAGCCCCCTTGCAGTTAGGTAAGGCCATGGAATTGAGTTCGTGTCCCACCAAATTGCAGGCCATTTTCAGAGTAGGCCCCCCAAAGCTCCCACACAATTGTCCACACTGTCCCCCTCCTTTGACCTGTGGTCAGGTGTAGAGAATCTGGGCGAGCACCTTCCATCCTAGAAGATGGTAGAGTCACTGTGTGCAGGGATACTGAATCCCTGAGTGACTGCAACATTTCACTTAGCCCACATTGAGGTATACTATGAGTGAGAAGTCAATCTTTATTATGCCGTAATACTATATTTATCACGTCAAGACACCTTTTAATTATTAGTGTCTATTGTGTAACAAGCCATATCAAAACTTAGTGGCTTCCAACAACCATTTTTAAACACATGCAATTCTGCATGTAGGCTGGGCTGAGCTGGGTAGTTCCTCTGTGGGTCTTGCTGCTGCTGGTTAATCATCAGCTGGTGGGTTGGCTGGGGGCTGGGTCCAGTTGGGACACTGGAACACTGGCCTTCTCTCTCTTTTCATGTAGTTACAGGACCTCTCTCCCTCCCTGTGGCTTCTCCACGGGACCCTTCGCTGGCCTTTCTACCAGCATACCCAGACTTCTGTGGAGTCTCCCAAGAGTGCAAAAGTGGAACCTGCCAAGCCTTCTTAAGGAAGAAAGGGCACAGCATCACTTCCATTGCATTCTATGGGCTAAGGCAAATTAAAGGACCAGCTTAATTCAAGGAAGGAGGGCTATGTGAAAGTTCAGTATGGGGAGGTGTGGCTTTTGGAGGCTCGTGATGTAACAGACCCTCACAACCACTGAGATGAGGGACTTGTTTGTTATAGCAGCTGCCTATACTGACTAATCAACACCAGTAGCTCAGTGTTTCCCAAATTTCATCAATCTCCTACTACCCTCACTATTTTTGTTCTTTCTATGTACCATTTTGAATATTACTCACTGTTTCTTTTATGTACCATTTTTGAATATTACTGTTTCTTTTAATCAATGAACTTGAAATATAAATTTATTGAAAAATAAACTTTGTGTCAGCACTGTAAGTGAAAGATTAGAAGTATAATTATATTATTCTTCCATTATCATTAAAATAAGTCCATAACTATTAAAATGGTCTATCAATATAGCCCTTCAAACCATCCCCCTGTCATCAGGGATGGGTCCAGCCCCTGGAAAGGAGGTTATAGAGATGCTTGATAATTTTCGTTAAACCTCAATTTTGTAGAATTCAAATCTGCTTCTCTATAATTTATACCCACCAGATTCCACTGAAACCCAATCTGATTCCCCCTCTCTCTGACTGCCCTTAGATATCTGGTGAGTTTTCAAGGGAATTTTCCATTCCCTGAACATTTCCACTTTCTTCAACGTATCCTGTTTCCTCAAAACCTTCTAACAATGAGCAAAAAAAAAAAAAAAAAAAAAAAAAAAAGTCCAGTAAAATGCCCAAACCACCTCAAAATACCAAAGACAACCCTCCTCTCTTTTCTATATTTGCCCTCTGGGCTAGTTCAGAGCCCAGGAGCAAGATGGCAGATGGGCAGGTGTGGGTTGTTTCTCTGTGGGGATGACAGCGTGTTCATCTCAAGACCACCTGTTTCTGTAACAACCACAAGTGTGACCATCTCTGTGTCACATGTGCTCACGTGTCCCAAGAGCTTGGAGGCACAGCTCCAGGATCCACAGCAACCCTGTGCAGGGCTCTTGTTCCAAATGGTTCCCACTCTGTAGAGTTGCTCCCACACCTCCTTCAGCCCTTTGTTCATGAATCTCCATTTCTTCTTTCCTTCTCTCTCTTCCCCTCTCATTCTTTTATTTATTTTTTTTTAAATGACTGAGGCTCTTTCTTTTCTTAGCTCCTCTCCTAAGTATTCAGAGTGAATCTGAAACTCATAACATACTTACCTGCTGTTTTCTTGTGAATGACAAGGTCCATGCCTCTGCTTTCATAACACTGCAGAAATGGCAATGGCTTAATTGGAATGTTCTAGAAAGGGGATCTCTGGACACTGGGCAGCCAAGCACTAAGGTCCTGGGAAATTTTCTAAGTGAAAGGGAGTTATTGAACAGTTTCCAATTTGCCTTTGTTTCTGATTCCAAAGAGAACCTAATTTGATTTCTAACCCCCCAGCTCAGAGACCTCGGAAGTTTGGCTGGAAAAGTGCCAAGGAAAATTCCCTCACAAAAACCTAATTCATAGGGTCCTGCAGTCGTGGCTCTTTGAGGCAACTGACACTAAAATATAACAAGAGGACCTCATTCTTCAAGGGGTGCTGTGTACGGGTATGCCCCCCAGGGGCACCAGACCTCCCATAAAGCCCAGCCAGGTCCACCAGCCTCATGGACCACACAGGCCTCGGGGTGAATCTTGTCCTCACCACACATGGTTGTGCTGTTTTGGGCAAACATTCCCCTGGGTCCTTACAGTAACTTGGTAAGGCTGACTTTAGGTGTCGTGTGCTTTGAGGGCTGAAATGGAGCAGTTCTCAAAGTTCGTTTGGCTTCAGAATCCTCCACACTTGGTATAAATGCAGGTTCCTGGGCTCCACTCCAGTTTTGGTTCCATGGGGCTGGGGGCCTGAGAATCTGCATGGCCAGGGTCGCCTTTGGTAGTGCTGAGAGAGGCGGTTCCAGATCAAATTTGGAGAGATTTGAGTCTAATGTGTGTCCCCTCCATGGGGACCTGAAACTTTGCCAGCAAGTCTTATTCTTTTTTTTTTTTTTTTTTTTTGAAACGGAGTCTCTCTCTGTCCCCCAGGCTGGAGTGCAGAGATGCGATCTCGGCTCACTGAGAGCTCTGCATCCCGGGTTCACACCATTCTCATGCCTCAGCCTCCCGAGTAGCTGGGACTACAGGCACCCGCCACCACGCCCGGCTAATTTTTTGTATTTTTTAGTAGAGACGGGGTTACCCCGTGTTAGCCAGGATGGTCTCGATCTCCTGACCTCGTGATCCGCCCGTCTCGGCCTCCCAAGCAAGTCTTATTCTTACATCTACTGTGGGATGGGCAGTGAACTAGAACTGGAACAAAGAAATAAAGGCAGGAGAAAGCAAGCTCTCAGCGTGCAGGGGACAAGCCCACAACGCAAACATTCACTCTCAAAGCCCGCTTGGAAAGACCCTTTCTCACGTGCAAGAACGGGACGGGTGGGTCAGTGTGGCGCTGGTGCCCTCTAGTGGTCATGTGGAAACCACCGGCACATCCCCCTGTGAATCTTCAATTTCTGCTTCCCTTCAAATATCACTAATGCCCATGACTGCCCCTTTCTATTGGTAGGAAATGGATTTGATCTGTGCCACCTCTTGATATAGGCAGTTGAGTGAGGTGGAAATATCAGAAATCTTGGGGTCAAAGATACCTGAGTTCTCACTCTTTTTCCATCACTTGCTGTATCGCCTGTAGAAGCCATTTAACTTTTCTGAGTCTGGTTCTTCTGACCTGTAAACCATGCAAAATGAAAGAACAATATGTCACCACGAGGAGATCTTGAACTCATTCTGCATTCTCCCTCTTGTGCTTTTATCCCACAGTTTAGGGTCCACCCTTTGTCCTGAGGGGCTTAGAGAATGGCCCCCCCTCCACCCCAGACATGGCTGGGAAGACTGGGGAACCCTCAGTAAAAGTAGTAGGCAGAGATGGTTTTCTCAAATGGAGACTGGTCCCTGTGCACCCCTGACATGGCTCTTGCGAGGATCCACGCCCTTGTTGAGAGATGGGGCCCCAGTCCTGGCAGTTGGCTCAGCTCTGCCCTCTTCCTCCAGCCTCTAGACCGTGCAATGTCTTCTGTAGTCTGGGCAGCTGAGAAATTTGATTTCCAAGTGTGCATCAACATTTTTCTGCTTTATACTTGTCACTGGCTTTGAGCTTAAAAGACATAAATGTGAGACTTTGGTTCTCTGATTGCACAGTGACCTCCACCACCCAAGGTGGGGGTGCTCCCTCAGAGTTGTCAGATGGAGATTGGACAGCACAGCCCTCAGGGCATGAGGGAACATTTTACTGAGTGCAGGGACAGCACATCAGTTGATAACTTTGAAATCTCCTTGCACACATGCGGATAGAAATGCCACATTGCAGAGATATTCTGAGAGTGAGACTTTGCAAGGCACGAGACTGGCATAGGACGGGCACTCCACTCCCTTTTCCTTAAAAAAATTGCTCATTAGGGCCGGGTGCGGTGGTTCATGCTTGTAATCCCAGCACTTTATGAGGCTGAGGCGGGTGGATCACGAGGTCAGGAGATCGAGACGACGGTGAAACCCCGTCTCTACTAAAAATACAAAAAAATAGCCGGGCGTGGTGGCGGGCACCTGTAGACCCAGCTACTCGGGAGGCTGAGGCAGGAAAATGGCATGAACCCGGGAGGCGGAGGTTGCAGTGAGCCGAGATCGTGCCACTGCACTCCAGCCTGGGCCACAGAGCGAGACTCTGTCTCAAAAAAAAAAAGAAAAAAAAAAAAATTGCTCATTAGATGCACACTTTGTTTTTGACTTCACATGGTCGTTTCTGTTGTTGCTCTCTTTCAGTAATCACATAGAGGCATAACACTTCTACGGAGGCTTTTGCAAACGGGAAATTTTATTTGTTCTGCAATGTGCCAGACATTCTTCTAGGAGTAGGGAAAACAGCAGGATAATCTATGTTCCTGTCCCATAGAGTTCTCAATCCAGTTGCAGGTGACAGGCAGCCAGCACCGGTAAGCATGGCAAACAACAGGTGCTGGGGAGTGCTAGGAAAAAAAGCCAGGGGGAAGGATGGCATCAGGCAGCCTCTGGCAAGGCCACACAGGAGCTGAGGCCTGTGTGAGGTCAGGGGCTGAGGCCTGTGTGAGGTCAGGAGCTGAGGCCTGTGTGAGGTCAGGGGCTGAGGCCTGTGTGAGGTCAGGGGCTGAGGCCTGTGTGAGGTCAGGGGCTGAGGCCTGTGTGAGGTCAGGGGCTGAGGCCTGTGTGAGGTCAGGAGCTGAGGCCTGTGTGAGGTTAGGGGCTGAGGCCTGTGTGAGGTCAGGGGCTGAGCATCTGGGGCATTCCAGGGCATTCCAAGTCTGAGTCTACAGTGTCTTTACCATCCCAAAGCCCAGCTGTTTAATTTGGCCGCGAGTGACCAAGTCGCTGATATGTTCACATAGGTTCTGGCCTGGGGTTTCTCAGCCACCTGGCAAGAAATGCAGCTTTTGAGCAAGGCCCTCTGCCTGCAGGACTCAGTGCTAAGAGTGGGGTCACCACCATCACCATGATGGCTTCTGCCACTCTTTTCCTCTTGTCCCCTAAAGCGGTCAAGGGCAATGCATGAGGAATTCAGCCTGGAGTCCATGTGGCCAGCATGGCCCAGCGTGTGCGGGGCCCTCTTGCAGTATGATACCTGGCAGAGGTGCACGGGGTGGTCCCAAGCACGCCCAGCTCCTTCTTGCCTAGGGCCTTGGCACCTGGGGCTCCTCTGCCTGGTATTCTCTGCCCCTGGGTTTTCCACGCCTGGCTCCTTTGTGTCCTTCAGATCTTACTCCAAATGTCACCTCTCCAGAGACAATGCAGCTGCAGCGGACCCGGCTGCACTCTCCACTCTATGGCCTGTTTATTTCCCTTACAGCTCTTAGCATGGCTTGAAAGCTTTGTGTTCATTTCTACCCCCCTGCACTAGGAGGGCAGTTCCTTAGACACAGTATTCATTGGTCCTTGGCCCCTCTGTATCCCCAGGTTACAGGGGACAAGCCCACAACGTAAACATTCACTCTCAAAACCCAGGTCACCCTTCATTTTTTTTCCCCTTCCCCATGAGTCTTGATTTTCTTTGAGATTTCTTTAAAAAAGAAAACACAGGCTGGGCGTGGTGTCTGGAGGAGTCTGGAGCACGGCATATGAGAAGATAGGGGAGGGACTCACAGGACAGGGGTTAACCAGGGCAGACACAGCTGGGCTGCCTGAAAAAAGGCTGGAGAATGCAGTGGCCTCAGTTCTGTGACCATTAAAAACCATGGAACTGGGGGGAAGGAAAATGGACTTGGGGACTGAAGAGATCTGAGGTCAGTCATTTCTCCCTTCTGTGGCCTTGGGCAAGTTGCTTTAATTTCTCTGGGCCTCAGTTTCCCTGCTTGTAAAACTGAATACATACTTCATACGGGTGCTCTGAGGATGACAAAAAGGTTTGCGCAGCTTTGAGCTTGGTGTCTGGCACCTGGCGTGCTCTTCCCAGGTTAAAGGGAAAGCTGAGGAGAAGGGTCGAACCAGCAGGTGGGAGCAAGGGCTTTGGTCAGAGGGTCAGCACTGAGAATGGGATCCGAGAGGCACCAGAACACCAGGGAGTTAGGGCCAGCAGCAGTTCTGACCCCTGAGATCCTTCTGGGAGCAGTGGGACCCAAAGATCAGGCTACGGGCTTGGTCGGGGACTGGGATCCAGCCCCTTAGCCAGTCCACTTTTTACTCCTGTTCATGGAAACAGCAAAGGCAGCTTCTAGTACATGGTGAGGACTCCATATGTTAATGGTGATCATTTAAAAATTACCTTGTTTTTGCTTTCTTCATGGCAAAACCTAAGTAGCTCAGGTATAGAAATCATGCAAAACACTAAAAAGAATAAAGAAGAAAACAGAAGTTACCCTCAACCCCAAAGATATAGAAAAAAAAATGTAGGCTTTGTATTCTATACATGTGTATACTGTTTATACTATTATACGTATTTGGTTACATGTTACACATATTACAAAGTTGTGGTTCCTGGCTTTTTTTTTTTCTTTTTTTGAGACGAAATCTCACTCTTGTCCCCCAGACTGGAGTGCAGTGGCACGATCTTGGCTCACTGCAACCTCCGCCTCCTGGGGTCTAGCCATTCTCCTGCCTCAGCCTCCCAAGTAGCTGGGATTACAGGCACCCCCCACCATGACCAGCTAATTTTTTAATAATTTTAGTATAGACAGGGTTTTGCCATGTTGGCGAGGCTAGTCTCGAACTCCTGACCTCATGATCTGCCTGCCTTGGCCTCCCAAAGTGCTGGGATTACAGGCGTGAGCCACCGCGCCTGGCCACTGGTTTTTTTACTTTAACATCATATCATGAACACTTACTTGTGTTATTACAAAGTTATTTTAAAGAATGTTTTAATGGCTGTGCAGCATTCTATTCTATCACTCCAAGTTTACTCCTACTTTTGGTTACCCCCCACGCCGCCCCACATTTAAAAATAATGCTTTGAGGCGTATCCTCGAATCAGACTTTTTCCCTAGCTGAGATGATCTGCTTAGACTCTATTCACAGAAGTGGGTAGAGTTGAAGGGATATGACGATTTTCTAGACTCTAGGTCCATCTAGCCCTTCAGAAAGTTTACCAAATTATATGTCCATCTGCAGCATCGTGTTCTAGCCAATCAGTTATTCCTGTGCAAACCTCCTGAGGGTCTGGATGTATGTTTGGGGTTTAGGGAAGTCTAGGACCTCAAGTTAAGAAATGCTGCATCATGTAAATAACAATAACAGGTAAGATTAAAATAAAACAATATAACCTAGAAGCCTCAACTCTTTTTTAAAAAATCTCCATGGGCCAGAAACAGAACGTAAATTTCAAATGGTAAGTGGTGCTGAAGGGGCGCAGGCCTTGCACAAGAAGAAATGGCTAAGAATTCAATTTGTGCCTGGTGGAGTGACTACAATTGTCCAGAGAATGAGACAAAGGCAGGCGTCTTGCTTGTTGCTGGGGGGCCTGGATGTCACCCCATCCTCTTGTGATGATGGGAATTGAAGACCCTGCTGCTATTCTCTGGGTGGGATCCACGGGGAACTTGAGGTAGAGGGAGAAGCACACGAACCAGTAGAACCAGTCAAAGGTTCAGAGGCTGAGCCAGTTCCCCCAGGCTCTGTGGCTAGATCTGGGTCTCCATCAGTATTATTGTGGGGAAGAATTCTAAGCTGCCTTTTAGAGTCCTGGAGATTCAAGTGGCCACAAATGCAAAACTAGCAGAGATAAGGAAGAATGAACTCATAAGAAAGGAGAACTCAGAAGAAAGGAAAGGAGAGGTGAGAACAGAAAGAAGAGGAGGAAGAGTTCCATTTAAAAGGAGGCTGCAACCCATAAATCTGAAACTCACGAAGAGATCTAATGCCCAGAAAGACAACCACCAAAACTGATATTGGGATCAGAATTCAATCTGGAAATGGTAATTGCCTAAAACTCTGAAGAAGACTTCAAAATAAGGATGTATAGAATATTCAGAGAGCTAAAAGTACAATAAATTAAGAAATAACAATAATCTAAACATGAAAAGAAGACATTATTTTGGGGAAAACATTGGGAAAAAATATAAGGCAGGAAACATTCGATTGAAGAGTGTTTAGAATTGGAAATCGGTACGGAAAACCACAATAAAGACACAGCACAGAAAGCAAAGAGTGTAAAAACTATTTGGAAAACAGCGGTAAAAAGACATGGAGGATGGGAGGAGGGACTCTGAGTCGGTCTTCTAAGAGTAGAGAGAGTGGAGGGAACGAAGACGAGTGCTGTTTGGAGAAATAATTAGTGGAGACTCTCTCAGCTCAAGCTGTCATAGCCAAATGTAATAGACTAAGTGGCTTAAATAACAGATATTTATTTTCTCACAGTTTAGGAGGCTGAGAAGTCCAAGATCAAGGTGCCAGCCAACTCAGTTCCTGGTGAGACCTCTCTTCCTGGCTTGCAGGCTCTGCTGCCTTCTTGCTGCGTGTCAAACGATCTTTCCTTGGGATGTGCATGTTGAGAGACAGAGATCTCTCTCTGCCTCTTTTGTTACTCCACCAAACCCATCAGATTAGGACCTGGTCCTTATGACTTTATTTGACCTCAATTAGCTCCCAGACGTCCTATCGCCAAATACAGCCTCAATGGGGGTTAGGATTTCAGCATATGATTTTTGGGGGATACAATTTTGTAGACACAATTGAGTCCAGAGCAGGAACTTTCCAGAAAAGAAGATATGAGTCCATAGATCAAAAGAGCACTCAGGGGCTGAGCACAGTGGCCCCTGGCCACCTATAATCCTAGCACTTTGGGAGGCCGAGACAGGTGAATTACTTGAGATCAGGAGTTCAAGACCAGCCTGGGCAACATGGCAAAACTCCATCCCTACAAAAAAAAAAAAAGAAAAAAGAAAAAAAAAGAAAAAGAGCACTTAGGATCCTGAAAAGAAGAATCCAAACCAAATCCGTGTTGTAATGCAACTCAAAAATATCAAGGCTAAAAAGTAACTACAGAGTTGCTGGAGAAAAAAGACAGATTACTCATAGAAGAATAGCAATTTTTCTGATGGCTGACTTCTTACTGGCAAGAATGTGTTTGAAAAAGGTAAAAGTGATATTTGTAAACTTTTGAGGAATAATAATCCAACCCTTGTTTTTAAATTAAACTTAATTAAAATTCAGAAAGGAGGGCAAAGCAAGACAATTTCAAACATATGGAAAATAAGCCCCTTACAGACCTGCATTAAATGAATTACTAAAGGGTGCACTTCAGCAGGAAGAGAAGTGAACACAGAGAGAAGGCATGGAAGGAACAGTGTCGACAAACATTCATATTGACAAAATATATTGGCAAATCGAATCAAGCACTGACATCAGAAATCATTTTAATGTTAAAATGTTAACATTTCAATGTTAAAAAGGTAAAACTAAATTTCCAAATCAAAACTAAAATTCCAAATAAAAATAAAATGTGCATGCATGTGAGTATATGTGAGCTTGTGTGTGTGTGTGTGTGTAGGCATGCGAGTATATGAGTGTTGTGCGTGCATGTGTGTATGTGTGTGCATGTGTATGTATGTGTACGTGTATGCATGTGTGTGTATGTGTGTGCATGTGTGTATGTGTGTATGAATGTGCATGTGTGTATGGGTGTGTATGTGCGTGTATGTGTGTATGTGTGTGTATGTGTGTATGCGTGTATGAATGTGCATGTGTGTATATGTGTGCATGTGAGTGTGTGTATGTGTATATGCGTGTGTGTGTATGCGTGTATGTGTGTGTATGCATGTATGAATGTGCATGTATGTGTATGAATGTGCATGTGTGTATGTGTGTGCATGCGTGTGTGTGCTCATGTGTGTATGTGTGTATGCGTGTATGAATGTGCATGTGTGTATGTGTGTGCATGTGTATGTGTGTATGCATGTATGAATGTGCATGTGTGTATGTGTGTGCATGTGCATGTGTGTGTGTGTATGCATGTATGAATGTGCATGTGTGTGTGTGTGTATGTGTATGTATGTGTGTATGTGTGTGTATGCGTGTATGAATGTGCATGTGCATGTATGTGTGTATGTGTGTGTGTATGCGTGTATGAATGTGCATGTGCGTGTATGTGTGTGTGTGTGTGTGCGTGTGTGTGTATGTGTGTGTGTATGCGTGTATGAATGTGCATGTGAGTGTGTGTATATGTGTGTGTGCGCGCACGCGCGCGTATGTGTGTATGTGTGTGCATGTGCATGTGTGTGTATGCATGTATGAATGTGCATGTGTGTATGTGTGTGTATATGTGTGCATGTGTGTATGTGTGTGCATGTGTGTGTGTGTATGCATGTATGAATGTGCATGTGTGTGTGCATGTGCGTGGGTGTGTATGCGTGTATGAATGTGCATGTGCGTGTGTGTATGCATGTATGAATGTGCATGTGTGTGTATGTGTATGTGTGTATGTGTGTGCATGTGTGTGTGTATGTGTGTATGCATGTATGAATGGGCATGTGTGTATGTGTGTGTATGTGTGTATGCGTGTATGAATGTGCATGTGCGTGTGTGTGTGTGTGTGTGTATCTGGTAAACTCTGCTACAGTGTTTTGCCAGTTATCAATCTATTGCCTCTGAGCTCCCAAATCCACTCGTCCCTGTCCTGTTTATGATACTGGAATTATCCTCCTTTGCCAGCTGGCATGACATTAAGCTTCACTGGCAGATGACACTGGAAGGGCACTGAAAAAAAAAAAAGGGCTCTTTCCAGCAAGCGCTTCTAGAGGCACCGCTGTGCGCAGCTTCCTGGGCATCCGATATGGGGTGTTCCCTGTGCACCATCCAACTGGTGGATTCATCATCAGTGGGCTCTGCAGATGCAGATCCTCCCTTTTCTGTCATCTCTCCAGTGAAGCCTGGTCCCGTCTGTGGGTGGCGGGTCACTTCCAGGTGTGTTACTTTTCTGGGTGCTCTACCTGTGTCCCAGGGCTGGTGGCTGCTCTTTATGTCTGTGATTCAGATATTCTTTACAAGGTCTGACATCCAGCATTAATAAGGAACTTAAACAAATTTACACGATAAAAACCCAAACAACCCCATTAAAATGTGGGCAAAGGACACAAGCAGACACTTTTCAAAAGAAGACATACATGTGGCTAACAAGCACATGAAAAAAAGCTCGACATCACTGATCATTAGAGAAACACAAATCAAAACCACAGTAAGACACCATCTCACACTAGTCAGAATTGCTATTATTAAAATATCCAAAAAAAAAAAAAAATAACATGCTGGCGAGGTAGTGGAGAAAAAAGAACACATACACTGTTGGTGGGAGTGTCAATTACTTCAACCATTGCAGAAAGCAGCATGGGGACTCC